TTTTTTTTTTTTTTTTTTTTTTTTTTTTTTCCAGTCCTGGTTTCACTATCAAAAAAAAGGTACTGGAAATTTTGTGTTCCAGTAGTTGCTAGGTCATGGTCTAGTTCTTCTCTTCCGTTTCCCATCAATAAATAGGATCATTTGCCTACCTTATGGGATCCTACAAGGATAAGCATGAGACTGTGGAGTACTCGGACATTGAGGGTGTAACAGAGCGGCTGGGGAAAGAATATCGGGTTCGTATCTTCTGTTTGATAGTATTATATCGACTGCGGCAGCTACAAAGCCGTACAAACTAAATGTGGAATTATCAGCCTGGCTGCGTACTGCCAATGGCCAGATCAGCATCTTTTCTATTAACACTTCTCTTCCCAGTGCTGCTGCCCAGTGCTCGCCAGGACATGCAGTAAGATTACTTTTTTTTTTTGAGTCTGGATGGTCTGGAAGCAGAGCGAAGTTACAGCAATAACGGTGGGTGAGTTTTGGACATTGAAAAAAGAGAATGACCAATCCAGGTAGACAAGACTTGATTTTATTAATAAAATTTGTATTTTCCTCTTTGAGGTGACAGTTACAAACTTTGGTTCAAAAATAAAAGAAAATATGAACAGCAAGAAGTTGACTTTTGAAATCTCACTTTTACATGTATAAACGTGCATAAGAAAATACCAGTTGGAAATGAGCCAGCAGAAACTAGTACTATTTAATTTAACAATTTATAAGAAATAGAAACAAACATTTCTTTTCAAGTCTTACATATATTATGAAAAATAATTACAAAAGGATTTGTGTTGTAAAGCTAAAATGTAATTTCTACTTCCAACTACCTGAATAAAATGTTCAGAGGGAAGGCCAAACCAACTTTTTTTGGGTGAGATTTGAATAGCAAATTGTAACAGTTTGGGTCAAAGACAGCTCTGCAGGAAGCAGTCCCCTCGTATGTTGCTTAGCAACTATGGAGAATCACATGACCTAGACGTATTGCATCCCTGGCCTTCAGGTGAAATAACAGGAAAAATAATTCATATTAATGGGATGGGCAAATATTGTACGGGACCGTTCTGTGGAACTTTTAGTACCCAGTTCAGGAAGCAAACATCCATCACTGCTTACGTTAAAATCTAAGTAAACGCTGCAAAAATCCATAAATAACTGTTTAGAATCCAGTTTTAATATTGCTGCAGACCAAATAAGCACAATGGAAACAAATTCAGATGAGATTAAAAAAAAAAGGAAAGCTATATGACTAACTTATTTCACAGAGATTTTTAACAGTTCTCTTACACAGAAACTGGTTTTTTTCTTACATATTTTCCCCACCCCAAAATATAAACTTGTTTATTTTAGGTATATACAGGTATCTTATGAAATTCTGGAATTAGAAGAAAATAAAAAGTCTGAGGTATAGCACCATGGAACACAGCACCTTTGAAGGTGCTTTCAATATTGAAATTCATCGTCACAGAGTGATATCAGCAGAAAAGAGTTGTCCGAGTGTGCTGCTCAAGATCTTCCAGTTTTGCCACCTTAAGTTTTGTTGGCGACTTCAAATAACAAAGCTCTTCAACAACAATATATACAAAGGGATTTTATTATTAATCAGAAATGGAATTGGCTTCACTGGCAATTACAGCTTTATTTTTTCAGAATACATACACAGTATTGACAATGTAGTTTTGTAATTATAAAATAAGAGCCAGGTGCAATTCAGAGACACATGCAAGTTTTGGAAGTGGACAGAGAAAGAACAGTATAGTACTGTACATAGAATAATTACAGTTTATTAAACACTTTCTTAACACCTCTTTGTTGTAATGGAAGGAGCACCATGTCGTTCGTTTTTTTACAGCACCAAAGGAATCCAAAGGGGGGTGTTCCTAAAGCGAGCCCTACGTTGTCTGTCTGTGCCACAGCATCTTTGCAAAATAAGTTTAAGTCATGTGATTCTGGCCCTACAAGGGCAACAATTACTTTCTAGATAAGACATACATACACAGCAAGACGTATTTTCTATGCCATCCTTATTCAAAACTTGCATGTGGCATGAAGTGGGTTGGTAGCACCAAAGTGCAACATTTTTGTGGATCTGATTTTGTCTTAAGCTTAACCGAGGAAGCAGACAGGACCGACCTCAAATCCAAACTTCCGGTTCTGATCACCAAAGTCATTGATCATCACGTCAACTATAGGCACTTGGTCTATTTTGGGTGTGTTGATTTCGATCACCGTCTTTGCATAGCCCTTTCGTGACTGTTAAAAAAGATGCAAAAAAAAAAAAAGCAAACATGGTTATGTATCAGAGCAGTAAACACGTGCTGCAGATCTTCATAGGTTATCTCTGAAGTGTAGAATTTATAAATTATTGCCCCCTCATGCACCAGATATTACAAGCTCTAGAGTTTACGTTTTCTTAGGATTTTATTCTAAAAATGTGGCATGGAATGTTTTTGATCTGTTTTAGAAAGAGATCGGCCCATAGCTTTTTAACTTGCTAAAACAGGCCTACAAATGAAAAATTATCTCATCTCAGACATTTAATGTTTCGTAGAGAATTCTGAGTTCACATCTATACTCTTTAATAAACAACAACAATATCCTCATAGCAGTGCGCATGTCTTCCTTGTGAAGAAATCACTAATTAGTTCTGAAAGACAGAAGAAAGATCCACTTCTAAGAAGAAAGACTGTAACTGTCTCACAAAATATTACAGCAGCTGTTCGGACATGAAAGAAAGTAGCAGTCTGACAGGACTGCCAACTGGCGCACGTCGAAACCAGGTTTGAAGGCACACACTTACTTCCTAACAAAGGCTCTCTCCCTCCTCTAAACATCATCCAGCCAAGTCATCACGTTAGTTATCAGGACTGCACTTTGCTCAGACGGTCTCTCGTATCTTGCTGAGACCCCTTGCAGCTATGCCGGGGTCTTGGAGTTTAGATGAGCATCCAAGTTGGTAGATCTGAGCGTTCTCAGTTTAGTGACGGAGTTATACCCTAAATCACTTCCAGCTCTCTCTGGAGCTCTACACTCACCCGCTGCGGATAACTAAAGCAAAATAAATCTACAGGACATACAGAAAGGCTGACATGAAGCAGTTCTGTACTGGAATCTCATCACTGAGGGGAGGAGACTCTGCATCTACCTGAGCTGCATCTCTGTCTCACAGCCAGGCGTGTATCCCGGCACTTTCAGGTCTCTGATTCTCTGCCACTGACTTCTCAGGAACTGCCTTCAAAACGCTCACATATCAAACCCCAAAATAATTAATGAGGCTTCAACTGTCACTTGCTCCTTCGATGTCTTTGTTTCAAAGTGCTCAGTACTAACCATCCTGTTTCTGAAAAGAGGCAACAGTTGCTATGCCTACAAAGACCCTGCCGGAGAGGTGGTCAGGGAGCTGATGCGTGTCTGGACAGCTCCGGGGATTTCAGCCGAGCTAAAGAGGATTGTGAAAGGTACAATCCACAAACTTCGCCTGGCTTTGACTACCAAAAAAAAATGAGAAAAGGAAATACAAAGTCACGTATCAAACTATGCAATTAATTCACTATGTTTGGGTACATGCATATGGCTTAATTCATACATGTTTTTACTGTATTCACGAAATATTCTGTCTGCGTATGCCTCAATTTTGAGTATAAATATATTCTCCTGATGGGCTGCCTCCCCTGGTTATGCTTTTTTGCTCCTGTTCTTCTCTAATTCTGTGCTCATACTAGCAGATAGTCTAGTTTTAGCACATTGGTGCTGACAGCCTGTATCCATGCCAGGTTTGTTCCATTTCTGGTGCTTGGCTTACGGTATTTTTTTTTGGTACATGTACGAAAATATTTAAATAAGGGACTAGTGTACTGTAGTTAAGAATCTACTAAAAGGTAGTCTATTAAAAATACAGTGTTTAGAAAGCTTTTCTCAGAAGAAAGCTGTGAAAAAATGAATTTGTTTGATTTCTACTTTAATTGACAGGTTGGTTTCGTAAAGACTCTTCTGAACCTCTACTTACTGCACAGCCGTCGTGAAGAGCTTTGATGTAAGGATTGTTGTCATAAGACATTTCTTCATCATTCGATCCTAAGAACCTTAGCGCTTTGTCATAGCTGTCAGATGATGCATCATGCCAAGCTACGGACTGATGACAGTTGTAAGTGAAATTTTGTCTGGCAGAGGCACTCAGTAGTTTAAGGAATGTCATTTGGACCATATTAATGGAATTGCCTTCAACATCCAAATAGGAAAGCTGGAAAATATAAGTAGTCACATGAATATTTATCTATTTCCTTTATTAAAATGCAAAACAAAATTATCGTTGACAAAAGAACCAGGTAACTGTCCCTAATGGAAAATGAACCAACATATAACATTTTATGGAGTTTTAAAGTTCAATAAAGCTATGACTCAGTAAATAGATTTTCATGTTGTAGCAATATATTTAGGATGAAGAGCTACATATTTTAGCTTCATTCTAATGGGAAAGACAGAGAACTGCTCCTACCATAGAGTGTAAAACAGCAGAATCTCTTTGGGAATCTGTTTTTGGGTAATTATAAAGCTATGTCAGCCGGCAGTCTCATCTTCGCATACTCAGTATATTTCTGGTTACCTAGAACGGGGCAGCGGACCTGTGCTCCAGCTGCGTTACTAAGGTTCAGCGGTGATGTGTGGTCTGCCAGAAGCCAGATCCTCACCATCAGCTGTGCCATTGGGATCATTGTGGGACAGTACAAGGCGGGCTCCAGCTGTCTGGTGGCAAGAGGCCATATAGCTGCTCTAATATTTAGGGCAAAAAGGCTGGGGCTGAAAAGTCTTTTCATTATCTACATATTTATAGAATTCCTTGGGATCTGTTGACCGCTGTTAACATGTACTTGATTTGTGAATAACTGTTATGTTGCAGTTACAACTTACAAGTTTGCCTCGCTTAAATTCACTAAACCAAGATCCTGGATTCTCCTTTGGCCATGATGAAATTCTAACCTGTGTGGTAAAACAGCAGAGATAGAAGTATTTAAAACATATGTTAACAGTTATGAAGGTTTAACATTACCTGGGACAAATTTCACATCAGATAGTAAAGAATGGTTCTTCCTTCTGAGATCTCAGCCTCTTTAAATCTCTAAAATAGGATGTTTTTCTTGTATAGAATGCCTTCAAATTAGTGACTTTAAATGGAATCCAAGGTGATCGCTTATAAAGAGAGCTAGTTCTATTTAAGGGAGACTGTTGTCATCTGTTAAGATTCAGGTAAACGGCTGGTATAATCGCTTATAAAGAGAGCTAGTTCTATTTAAGGGAGACTGTTGTCATCTGGTAAACTGCTGGTATAAATTGTTCCTGCGAAGAGTGTCTAAATCAGAGTTTTCACTGGTGTTGATGCTGATAGATCTCTCTCATTTAGGCAAGCTTTTAGAAAGCCTTCCTCTACACCATATGCCCCATCAGAGGTAATTTGTAACAATGAGCGAGGACGCTGTTAATACATAGTGTTTTACATCTCCTTTGCATAGGTATAAATGCATAGATATAAATGAACCCACAAGAGGAGCACAGTAAGAGTTTAGCTTTTAGGTGTCAAACGCTACATTATGCCCTTTAACTGGCTGCACAGCTACGTTGCATTCTGAAATGCAGTGAAAGGTTAGCAAGCAGGTGCATAGATTTCCCTATCTAAGCAAAAGAGTGAAAATGCTGTTTGTTAACTCTATGTACCATTTTACCACTTCATTCAGATTTATGCAAATTTCAATGTAATCAGAAGGACGGATATATGAAAATGTGACAGTGCAATTTTCCTGTTTAGTTCAACATCGCAACAGCACAGTAGGATCTGTCAACAGCCAACTGAAGACACAGATCGGTACTTACTCCTTCAGATTTCTTATCTGGGTAGATGCAAGTTTCCCCGCCTGCCGTGAAATTGCAGTATACTTTGAAGGAGTCTCCAGAACAGCCCTGGTTAGGATCAATCCAATATTCCCCTAAAACAAATGAGAAAATATTTGCCTTATATAGCAGAAACGGTGATCGGAAGATCCAGGTTTTACTGCTACCTAATGGTCCTCCAAAGGTAAGAAAGTTATTTTATCTGAACGATGAGAAAGCAACCCTTTCTTTTCTGCCTCATGATTGGTTGCTGCTGTTGTTGTTTATGAAAGATAACACCAGGATCAAAGTCTGGTTTCATCTGCGTCCTTTTGTTTTTGTCTCCTTTTACTTCAAACCATGACTATTGCAGGATACCGCTGAGGTTTTGGAGGAACTGCAGAGACCTCAGTCTAGAGGAAGAAGGACATTATGTGTGAAACATACATTGCAGGCCTCAACAATTTGGCCATTTCAGTATTTCAGCTAGGATAATTTGTGCCTGTGGTGACAGCACTCTCAAAAACAGAGCAGAGGCAGCCTTAGGCAGAAATAAGCTACGGCTTAGGTCAGAGAGCAAAATCTGGAGTCAGCTGCATACCTGTCTACATAAAAAGGTGGTCGCACAGGGCTTGGTGAGGTTGTAGCTGGCACAAGTACCTAAAGCTTCCATTGAGAGAGATATACCTCAAGCAAAGATGTTTTTAACCACTGGGTTACGAAGCTGCAACACTAGTGAAACTTCAGGCTGCTTTAGTTGATAAAAACACCTAAACTAATGCTTGGTTAGGTGACATTGTGGGAAAGACAGTTAAAACTTGCACGAGACTTCCCACAGTTTCAGCAGTCCTACCAGACTGGTGTGACTGAGAATTCAGGCCCCACAATGCTGGGGTGAATGAAGGCCGGGGACGAAAGAGCGCCGCAAGTCAATCCGAAGTCCATTAAAAATCAGCGCTTTTTAAAATCTACCGTTCTAATTATAATGATGATTTCTGTGATGTGGGTCCTTATCTCCAGCTAGTTTCACAGCAGGACAGCAAATGATTTTCTGACACTACTGTTCTAATCCAGTTTCAAGCAAACAGCGGAGGTTTCAGAGAGGCATGACAAATCCTTTCACCAGTTCTGTCTTCTGAATACAGGGCATAGACAAAGCATTTATAGTACTTTAAAATTCTATCGATTAAGGCTGTATTTATTGAAAACAGTCTTTCCTACCTGTGAGTCCTGTCCCTGGAGAATTCTGTATTTTAATGAATGCATTTACTTTTATTTTAACCAAAATAAGATTACTTTGATATGAAGAAAGCTCCAAATAATAAGCAAATACTGGTAAATGAAGAAGGTAAATGTGTTCTATAAAAAACATTCATTATTATGGAGGTACTGAATTGTAAAATATGTACTTTTCATACAGCACATACACTGCTTAACTATTCCTCAAGGCAACCATCTGTTTTTATCTATCTAGAATGAAAGCAATAAAATACTATTAACTGTCAAAATCTATTTTTCCTCCCATTTAAAACCAGAAAAATATTGCTTTGAACTGGGAAAAATATCCAGTGCAATCGAAAAAAATATGAAAGGATGAAAACACTGTGAAGGCTGGCTTTCATTTAAACCTTTCCAGAGGGGTAAACTCAGTTAGGGAAAAAAAAAGAAGAAAACAACAAAGAATCATTAAATCAAGATAGTTCTTCAGAACACAGTGTCTTGTTCATACTGCTCTGCATTTTATTAAGCTAGTACTTAGTATCAGAGAAACTTGCATGTCTATTTGCTGAATGATATAGAACAAACAGTGGTCATGCAGTAGGACAAATTATTGTTTCTAAGGGTAAAAGAATAGTAATTTTTTTGAGACTCATAATCAATAATAAATCTGATAAAGCTATTTATTATTATGCTAAGCTAAAGGATACAGCTAGTAAAATAATTCTCGTTTCTTTTAAAAGAAGCTATTAGCTATCCCAACATGCTGACATTTGTGATTTTACTTTCCATTGTTCTAAATAGCATCGATCTTTCATCTCTCTCCTGTTTGGATAGTTCTGGAAACGCAAGGCCCACCTTTCAAAACAATAACTTTTTTATTTAGCACTTTTTAAAGTTTTAAATCTAAAACCAGATCGGGTTGTGTATTTAAAGAATTTTGGCTTTTACCAAGACAACGTCTCTTACTTACACTTTATAAACTTTTATACCTGCAAAAATGGATTTAATGAGACTGTATTTATTGAGCAACTGTATTAACCATCTACCAATAATTAATTATTCTGCCAAAGTATCTTAGCAGATCATAACTTCAGCCTTGTTTGCCTTTGTCATGCAATATTAACATACCATCTGGGAAGTCTGGGTGGCAGAGTTGCAAGTCTTTGCAAGTTCGGGCTGGGTTATTCTGAGTGCCCATTGGATACTTCATATGCTCAATGTCTTGCTTCAGTGAATTCAATGAACCAAAGATCTCTTCCATGCCATCGGAATAATCCAGAATATTATCACCAGCATCAGATAACATGTAATCGGGAGATCTTCTTGTCTTTTTGGGTGACTGGATTGGCAGCGGCTGGATTACCTCACCCGGAGGACCCTGAGTGGAAAACAACATATCTGGTTACCTTTTCTGTTTGTTTTTCAGCTGCATAAATACACAGAGGAAGACCACAGAATGTGGCTTGGAGATGCTTTGAATAGGCTTTCTTCAAATTCTTTATTTCACTTATTTCCTTCAGATTTATGCCTAGGTGCTTGGATTTACTTGCAGAAAAAGATGATTGTAGAAGGCCAAACCACTGTTGTGCTCTACACTCTTCCCACTACGTTGCTCTTTGGGGAAGAGTGTGCTGCCCTCACATAAGTTAAGTGTGCAGAACTGACTTGCGATTGTCTCTTTATCCCTGGCAATTCCCTCAAGCACAGGCATAGTCTATGACAAATGAAAACTGTGGATGTTTCCTATGATAAAACTTTAAAAATCCACTTGGGGTCTATAAAGCAACATTTCATTTCAAGACATTGAGACATTTCAATCAGATTTGGACAGTTTTCATTTTAGATTGTTAGGATATGAAAAAGAAATAGTAGAATCAGAAGAGTATTAACAGGGGGAAACCGAAATCATTCAATTTCCTGTGCTTCAATATAACACACTGTCGTGGTTTAACCCAGCAGGCAGCTAAACACCACACAGCCGTTTGCTCACTCCCCCCGACAGTGGGATGGGGGAGAGAATCAGGAAAAAAAAGTAGAATTTGTGGATTGAGATAAAGACAGTTTAATAGGACAGAA